TGCAAAATTTTTACAATGAGACCCTCCTTTCAAGAGTTACCCCTAGTACGACACATTTCCCTCATTCTACATACTTGCCATCTCCCTGAACACAAACCAGTAGTTGTGAAATTTTAGAAGGATAGGGATTCAGCTTCCGCTAGGGACCAGTCCTTTTTGGGATGCTGCGCGCCTTCCACCATATTTCAGAATCGTAATGGCATACCTGAGGCAATACGACCTATACACTTACCTGCGGGGGCCATAAATATACGCTCCAAATCACGGCAATGGGGAAGGCGTGGCTTTACATCAACAGAACATGCCGGCGACTGTTCTAGTATTCGTCTCGAGACTATCTCAATGAGTTCTTGTCCAGCATAAGGCAAGATGAAGACCGTCTTCAGTGGAAAGATCCCATAAATGTATATAAGCGGGCCATTTCCTACTGCCCGCTCAAAAAAATACTCCCATGAAATTGGGGAATTTTATGTAAGCTGGTCGTTAATGAAAATTGTTCTGCATTTTGAGGGACACACTGTTTTTGTTAATACCGCTGGTCATGACTTTGAGCTGAAGTTCAGCGTTTTTTTACGAGAAGAGTCTTTCGGAAGATATCTGAGTGAATCATCGTTTCAGTCACCAGTTTCGTTGGGCTTTCTTGAGCTTTCCATTACGAAGTTTGCAGTGAAGTGATGACCGTGGCCAATAGTAGTGGCCCAGATGGTCAATCTTCATCTTTTATTACGGCACAGCCTATCAAATTCAACTAGGACGAACGGGACATTGGAAAGGAAGTTTTTTCGAGTGCAGCAATCAAATGATGATTTACTAGGTCGTAGAATTCTTCGCAGAGATATCGTGAGAGCGACGTTATAAAGTCAGGTTCGTGAGCTAGTGTAAACTCAAGGGCGACCAGAGGAAAAAATGGTGGCTCGTCGAAGAATGAGTTCTGAAGTGGAAAACCATGTTAAACTAGGGGAGTGTGTGTTTATGCTGGAATGATAATGGAAGTATGAAATGTGTCGTTATACCGAATCTTGTACTGACACCTTTACTTCATATTTTTTTATTTTTTATGAATCGAGCTGCTATACTTTAGTTTTTCCGTTTTTTTTCCCATATAATTCTTGTGTTTATAAGTCTTTGTGACTTTTACTAATTTCGACGAATAATAGCGAAAGTACGCTTTGCGTTTAAGCATGGTTAGTGCTATGCGGATCGACAGGCGCTGAGATGACTTAGCGACGCAGTCCCAACCCGTTGTCTGCCGAAAATCTCCTTCGTCGTCATTCGTTACTCTTAGAGACACTCCTCGAAAAAGCTCCTCCATAACCTCAAGCAGCAGAAACATAGGCCAATCTTCTGCAAGGTAATCGGAAAATACGCACAGCAATGATCTTCCTAGCACAAAAGTAGCCTATGTGCTGCTGCATCTAGCCGCTAGTCACTAGGCGGCCCACTCATGCATCCCAGCCTGACACACGTGTGCAACTTTAGGTTGCAGCAGTGGTTATCAGACTGAGAAACTGAGTTTTACCAACTCGCTCGTTTGTTGGACGTTCGTCTAGGCCATTATGTGGCAACTTATCTGTATGTACAAGATACACTTGACCCTATCCCTGCGCGTCGTCAAAGCTAAGAACTTTCCGGACAACCTAATAACATCCCATGTTTTTTTTCCAGTTTGCGATCATTTTGTCGATTTTGTGGCTTCATGAAGGAAATTTCGGCTTTGCTGCAATACACTACAATGATGGCA